TATGTGTGTTTAATTCTTTTAAGGGAAACATACATTTCCAAAGCAGTTTATATTTTTTTCGTATACCCAACAAACTCAGTCAGTTATGAGTTCAGTAACATTTTCTCAATCGATCGTTCTAGAGTCAAAGTAATGAGCGTGGAATGCATTGGCTTGCAAGACTAATAAAGGCACACTATATGCCGGATATCATCTCTTGCAACTGAAGTGTCCAGTTTCAATTACTTAGCGTGTTTCCAACATCAAAAACAGGGTTCGACAAAGGAAGTGCTGTTTTACTTTGAGTGGGACCCTTGATTTATGTTACTCTAGAGGCTCATTACAGAAAAAAAAAAAGTTATTTAATCTAAAGCCTTTTCCAGTATTCATTAGACAATCATATTTATATGAATGTTTTTTACTTAAACTATTCTACTCCCTAGTCAAAAACTCAAAATCAACTACAAAATATAGGAACATATCAAAAGACAATCTAACCCAAGAATTAAGCTAATTTGGAGGGCCTTAATTTCTGGAATTAGACTGGAAATATGCAAAAATTGACTTGGAGACAATATAATATATATAGAGAGAGAGAGAGAGGGAGTGTGTATGTAATAATGCAAAAGATTTATTTTCTATTACTATGCAATTCAAAATAAAAAGACAATAACATAGTTGAAGGTTAATAAGAAATGGGGAACTGATTTTGAAACAATTTTTTTGTACCGTCTTTTGATATAATTTAACGTATCATTTAAATAATTTATTTTTTTAATTTATGTGAAACTCGTGATCTTGAATTCTTTAATTTATGTGGGATTCGTAATCTTGGGATTCGTAATCTTGAATACATTTACTCATTTAATGACATGTGGAAGTTGTATCAAAAAGTAGAATAAAAAAATTATCCTTATAGCATCGCCTTAAGAAATGATATATTATCAATAAAAAAATTTAATCGGGTTGGTATTTACTAATTAAAATTTTTTAATTTAAAATTAAAGTAAAAAATTTAAACATTTATAATACTTAATAACTAACTGTCCAATGTTAAAAGAAAAAAAATCATAAACTAAATTATAAGAAATAAGTCAAAGAGACCTAAATTAATTTACAGACTGAAACTTGTTTTTGCGTTGAATATTTGAAGGC